GGGAAAGGTGGAAGGAAGAGAAGAGGAGGATGATCAGCAGCAAGGTGGATGGACTCACAGTGGTAATGGTGAATCATTGGAAGACGTAAAGGTTAGGGACAGATTGTCATGGAGAACATCTACTGTATCTAGGTGGTTCCTAAGAACTGACAACAACTTGATGGCACATAATCAATCAATCAATCAATCAATCAATCAATCAATCAATCAATCCAGGACACACTGGAGAAAGGGCCCAATGAAAAGGGCTCCATTCCAAGGGGGTGTATATGAGGCCATTTACCTCGGACTGATTTCACTTGGGCCTGTGTGATACTATCAAAGTCAATCTCCATGAGGGAGCGCAAGAAGTTGGCCTCTGACATCATCCCTTTGGCCGTCTTCCAATTGAGCTCCTTGTAACCGCGCATGATGAGGATGCATTCGCAGACAGTCTGGACCTGCTTGGGAGGCTTCGCAAAGGATCTGAAGAGGGGAGATAAGATGGGGAGGGGGAGTTGGAGGCCAAAGAAAACCCCACATGCTTCAAAAACTTATTTTTGAGTTGCACTGCCTTGGCATTAAAATCCTGAGAACACACCCTAGGGTGGGGAGAGGAGAGGAGAAGTTGTAAAAAAGAAGGAACAGAAGAAGGCTCTCCAGACTTCACTCCCATTTGCTCTCCATCCCCAAATTGTGCCAAATTGACCTGGAACATCACAGATGTTTTTAGGCAAGACCCAACCTTCCTTAGTGGCGCCATCTTGATAGTCTACTGTGCCTGAGATACCTGATCTCTGTCACATCGGACTTATCCAGTTTCTGCAGCTCCAGTTTGGCAGCCTCTAAGATAGGCATGGCTTCCTCCAGAGCGGTCTCGGCTTCCCGCTTCTCCACCGCAATCACTTTGTTCTGCTCTTCAATCTCCATGGCTTTTTCGACGGCCAATTTTTTTTTCTCCTCGGCTAAGGAACAGAACCGGGACAGGATTACAAAATGACCTCCTGGGAAAGTGGTTGGTTTAATTCCTTTGGACGTAGCTACAACGTTGGTAAAAAAGCCTTTTTAGGAACAGGCGCAAAGGCAACAAGATATATGATAACTGGCGGAGGGCCCATCCTTGGCCTGAACATTTGAGATTGGAAGGGCTTGCAAAGTCTAGACTCAGTTCAAGAAAGCAGGGAAGGAGAAGTGAAAAATATCTGTAGGCCTGCCTGTAAAACATCCTTGCTCCAGAGTTCTGATGCAATTCCCTTCTCCTAGGTGAACTTACCCCTAGCTGCATCACATTTCCCCCCAATGCTACTGGAAATTCCCCCGCCCAATTTTAATTGCATTAGTTTTACAGCCTCTCAAAGAAAATTACAATTTAGTAAAATTCACCGCTGAACAGGACAGGGTGGAAAACTTGCCAATTGCTGTATTTGTGGCAATCTCCTGAAGGAGGGCTTCGCAGGCAGCAGATTTCTCCGCCAACACAATCTTCTGCTCAGCCAGCTTCAGGTTGAGCTCATCCAGCTGAATTGTGGCTTCTTTCAGTTTATCCAAGCCGCCATCCAGACGTTTGCACTGAGCTGGAAAGAGCAGAGAGGGCTTTGCGGTGGCGTTACAAGCAATTGCAAGTCCTCCCGCTAAGCAGCAAACAACTTTTGGGCAACTCTACACCGCTGAAGGTACACCCTAGGATCCTTTTTTGTTTCATGCACTCCCTCTCCAGATTTCCAAAGAATTTTGCTCGTGATCCGTTTATCATTATATCTATCTCGAGCCCCATTTTGGAGTGGGAAAAGGCAAGATAAAAATTAGGTTGACATCTGGGCAGCAAAATCCCAATGACCAGGGATCAGATATAGAAAACTTGCTTTGTTGCCATCCAGATGTTGCAGTCCAGATCTGTATGCCTATATTAATCTAGTAATTAGATTAGTAATCTAGTAAGAGGGGAGAAACAAAGAGCATCAACCCCATGGGGTTCCTGCTGGCAGGAAAAGTTCCCCCTCCCCAGTTACGATCATGAAGAAAACTGGAACCTTAAGCCTGATTTAAATCCACACTCCGGGAGGAAAACCCACATTAGTCAGGAACAGCTCATCCATTTAAAGTTCACCTTAACAATCCATCTTGCTACCTGCACAAACCCTCCGAATCATTTTTCCACTCTCATTTGCTTCACTTTATGAGAGCTGACTTGATGGAGGTGATTAAGGTGCTGGAGTAAAAAGTGGGAGATTTTGAGTTCTAGTTCAAGGTCTTCTTACATCCTTACACTTTAATGAGTGTTCAAGAGAATCACAGCTGGGTCTGTGATTCACTGCTACAGCCCTCTGATGCAACTTTTCCCATCTTCACTCAATATTTCCTTCGGAGATCTACACATGTGGCATGAAGCGCCATTCTTACCCAGAATGAAGTGATTTTTCTCATCCAGCAGCTTGGTGTAGGTGTTGATGAAATCCAGGTAATTCTTGGGAGTGACATAATTGCTCCTCCTGAGCTTCTGCTGAAACTTTTTGCTGTAGACACCAACTGAGCCGTGGACCATGACGATGTGGGCAATGACCTCCTCGGTGTGCTCCGATGGAATCAGAGGATTGTTTCCTAGACAAAGAAATGAGGGGGGAGGGTCAATGGGGGCAGCGGGGGGCAGAATCAAATCCCTCTGAATGGCCTCCAGTGGCCAATATTCCAAAGTTGCCAGGAAGAAACAATGTTCCACTTGGCAGATAGACGTGGAAGCTGGTGCATCTCGTTCAACTCAAGGTCATTTGAATGGAGATTCAAGCTATGCTTGGGGCTACACTACTCTATCCACCATGACATTTTCTCTTTCAGCTGGAACACACCTGTCTGCAATCTCAAAGTGCAGGCTGATGGGAGAGGATAGGGAGGTTTTCTGGCCTGCTGGGGAAAATTCAGAAGTCCATCCTTCTACAGGAACGGGCAACCTGTGGTTCTCTGGCTCTTGTTGCACTACGACTCCCAGCATGTCTTTCTGGCTGGGGTTGGGCACCACTGGGGTTCAGGAATGTTGGGAAGGGCAGAGGGCCCCCCATCCAAGAAGGGTAGAACAGCTTAGGGGGAAGGCTGAAGCAGCAGGTCTAGAAAACCAGCTGAGGGCTTTAAGGGGCCCATTTGGCTACAGGTGTCTGGTGACATTCTAGGCAAAAGCTACCAGAATAAAAGTTGGGGGTGGGGAGGAGAAGCATGAAAACAGTTCTTGCAGGATATAAAGCAGGGTTTCTCAACCTTGGCCAACCTTAAAAAAAGCGGGGGGCGGGCCACCCCAACAACCACACCTCCTCCACTGCATGGGGACGTTT